CTCTTCCACGTTGTATCAAAACATAAAACTGTACGGAAATTTCCTCAAATATAATTCATTTTTGTGCAAAGAGGGCAGGAAGATGTGGCAGCAGGAGTAGTTTTGGTTGGCGGCTGTGGGCCAAATGGGAAATGGCCATCACCCTAATACGAACCCTAGGCCCTAGGGCTTTCCATTTATTTAATTTTATTATTTATTTTTTCAATTTCAGAATATCGAACAATAGACCCTCCTAGAATATTCCAGTAGAAGTGTCAAATCCAATGGAACAACAGTTGGTTGCCTAGCCCAATTAATTGTTAAACGGACGGGCCCAATAAATAGAAACAATCCTTGGGCATAAGGATGGGCATGGTTCGATTTGATTCTCGTCAAACCCAAATCTGACCCAAAATTTTTGGGTATTCATTTTATGAATATTGAACCATAGACCCTCCTAGAATATTCCAGCAGAACTGTCAAATCTAGTGGAACAACAATTGGTTGCCTAGCCCAATTAATTGGTAAACGGACTGGCCCAATAAATAGAAACAATCCTTGAGCATAAGGGTGGGCATGGTTCGATTTGATTCTCATCAGAACCGAATCTAACCCAAAATTTTTGGGTATTCATTTTATGAATATCGAACCATAGACCCTCCTAGAATATTCCATTAGAAGTGTCAAATCTAGTGGAACAACAATTGGTTGCCTAGCCCAATTAATTGTTAAACGGACTGGCCCAATAAATAGAAACAATCCTTGGGCATAAGGGTGGGTATGGTTCGATTTGATTCTCGTCAAAACCGAATCTGACCCAAAATTTTTGGGTATTCATTTTATGAATATCGAACCATAGACCCTCCTAGAATATTCCATTAGAAGTGTCAAATCTAGTGGAACAACAATTGGTTGCCTAGCCCAATTAATTGTTAAACGGACTGGCCCAATAAATAGAAACAATCCTTGGGCGTAGGGATGGACATGGTTCGGTTCGGTTCTCGTCAGAACTGAATCGGACCCAAAATTTTTGGGCATTTAGTAAGTGAAATCGTCATGTCCAAATTTAATTATGAAACCGTTCGATTCCCAGGTTCTGTACTATAATTAATTTTTTTAATATTTACAAAGTTACATTGATTCAACTAATACTATATTCAATCTTAACTCTTACAAAATAACGTAGTCCAATCTTATATGTTTTTTTCTGAGTTCTTCATAGATTTGATTGTTAAAATTACAGGAAGAGAACGATAACGAGCTTACAATAATTAAAAAAAGGAGCCGTTGAGCTTTAAACCGATTTATTCAGAACGGTAGAAAGCACTATCGTAGAATAACAGATTTGGGTAAAACTTAAATTAATTTGATTAAATTGGGCTTGGACTAGAAATTAAAATAGAAAAATCATAATTTTGGATTTGAGCTAAATTAATTAGTTAGCAAATTTATTTAGAAAAAATAAAATAATTTGACTTATTTAAAATAAATAAATTTAAAAAATTAAGGAGATTCAGTTGTTCCAGAACTGAGAATCGAATATAATTTGTCGATTCTTAATTAAGATACTCATTTGAGTATTTAACTTAAGAAGAATCGCTCAGTTCGATTCGGTTCGCTTTAGGTCCAGTTCATGAGTTTTGCCCAATCGTACTCAGGCGTGTTTTTGTCTCCTCTTAGACTAGGGGTTAATTAGAAGAAGGCTTGTTACTCTAAAAAAATAACAAATTAGATTTATACCCTAAAAACGCTCTCACGCCATATTTAATACTTTCATCTCCTTCCTCCATATCATAATCCACATCCACAAATCCCATCCCAGTCACTCCAGAACCTCAACCACAGCACCCTCGTCTCCATTTTTCATAACATCACCTTCCAATTTTCTTTCTTCAACCTAAATTTCATCAATTGGTCCCCTTTCTAGTTCCTTGTATGCATCACAGCACCTCTCATTCTATTATGACTTTCTCACCAACCAAAATGATCGTCCTCTAAATTGGCTCCATCTTCACCCACAAATTCTAATGGGTAAATGCAGCAATTCCATTATTTTGTCAATCATATATTGTAGTTTGAATTTTTTTTTTCCATTTCTATTGAACTATATATTCCACGTATTTCAAAAATTATTTGCTTTCTTTAAGTTCTCTTGGTGAGTTTGGTTTTTCTGCTTGAATTTGTTTATCTCGATTTGATGATTTTACTTACCATATGTGCAAAAGTGTATACTTGTTGCTATTACCGGAAAAAAAGGATTATTTTCATGTTTTTTATTGTTTTTTTTTTAATTGGGATTAAGTTAGTTTTGTTGTAATTGTAATGATGCTTTCTGAATTTGAGATAGACAGGCAATCAAGAAGTGCGCCATTGATATGTGGTTAATAATTTTGTTTTTGTATGGTTATATGGATCACTCTATGAATCTTAACGAAGTTTGGGTGAAAGGAATTTCTTGACGTTATTTTACTCCAATTGTTTCGAAATTAGCTTAATTAGGCCCGTATTTTACCTAAAGAATCTCCTTACCTCGTTAGTGAGAACCGTCTAAGATTGAGAATGCCAAAAAAAAAAGAGGACAACCACTTGAGGGTCCAATTTTTAAAGTTTGATGGAGGTCTCAAATCTCAAGTACGGTCTTGGTTAACTTGCTGATTTTGTTGGTTGGCAATATATAGTAGAAGGTGAGGGGATATGGCAAGTTGTCACGGCTCCTGCTTTTAAGCTCTTCTCCATCAATAAAGGCACCAGAGAGTGTAGAAATTCAAGTGCTACTCGTGGTAGTCTCAAGGTATTAGGTCAATGAGTATGGATATATTGTTGGACGAGCTGTACAATGTGAGATGGAGAGAAATGTATCAAAACACCAACTGGCAGATCTTGGTATTTCAAAATGGTCGATGTTGAAGACACGTTAATGCAAGCTTCCATGGGATTGGATGAATCAAGTTAATATGTTAGTTAATAGAAGTAAAATATAATTGCGAAAAGACAATATGCAAAAGAAATTTAGCTAACTTCGGGATCTATTCTAATTTTTTGATTCATTTGTCACTTTTTTTGAATATTTGTGTCTTTTTTAAGTGTTCTTCATTGTTTGGAGTTTTTGTCACTTTTTTTGAATTTCTGTCTTCCAAATCCAATTTAGTAACTTAGTTAATAGAAGTAAAATATAATTATAGAAAGATAACATATAAAAGAAAATCAACCATCCATTGGATCTATTCTAATAATTTGATTTATTTGTCACTTTTTTTAGTATTTGTCATTTTTTTAATATTCGTCATTTTTGTAAATTTTTGTCACTTTTTAATTTCTATCATTTTATTGAATTGCTTCCACATTTAATGCCACGAGAAGAGAGATGAACAGTGATGATAACGATTATGAAACAAACAACGATTAAGTGTCAAAGGAAGGCATACGTTATATGTTGATGGAGGTAAAGACGAAGACGTATTTGATGAGACAAAGATAACTTGTAAATTGCATTGAAAATGTTCAATGATAGATGATTTGTGTAGGATTAACAAGCTTCGATGAAGAGTGATGTTTTTTTTCCCCCCTAAATTTGCATTTTGTGACACTTTCATTATAAAGTGATATAACATGTTGTGCCACTTTTTTATTAAAATGTCACACGCAATCAATTTCTATTGGAACAATACATCTTTGACTAAGCTTTTAATTTGTTTAATTTCTATCATTTTTTTGAGTGACAAACATCAATTTTTTTAAAAATAAAAGTGACACTTATTTTCTATCCCCTTTTTTGATTTGTGTAACTTTTTTTAAATTTGTGTTACATTTTATATTTCTATCACTTTATATTTAGTGTTTGTCACTTTTTTCAGTCACCATCTTGATTTCTATCACTTTTTTTTAACGACAAACATCAATTTTTAATAAAAGTTACATTGTATGTCATTTTTTAATAAAAAGTGACAATTAACTTTTAAAAGTGACATTGTATCACTTTTTAATATCACACATTATTTTCTACATCAATATTTTATTATTATTATTATTATTTTTATGATTTTTCAAAGGATCCCTAATTTCAAGGGTATTTTTGTAAGTTGCCTAGTTAATTATGCAAAGAATGTTTGGGAGACCAAGTTGAAAATAGGGTGAATTAATAAGCATCGCAACATCACAAAAATCAGGAAAAATGTTTTTAAAAATCATGCGTAATGTTTTTATGCTACTAAAGTAGATGCTCGATGGATTAGTGATGTGGAACAGATAGTTGAATGGATAGAAATTTTTTTTGATCAAAATGAGTAATAGTGCAAAGAGAACATCCAAATTTTGATTTAGGCCCATAATATTATTCTAGAAAGAGAAAATATCATTATAGAAAGAGAACGACGAGATGAGTAAAACTGATTTTAAAGTTTTAGTGGTATTTTTATTATTTAGCTTATTTTGAATTCTTTTCAATTTCAATTTATTTAAAATAAGTTTTCATGTAAACCCTAATAAATAAATGATTAATTCATTATTTTTCACCATCTTTAATTAATAAAACTTCGTGAGTTTAATTTTCATAATTCAATGGATTCCAAAATTAACGTTCTTAAAGTTTTCGTTTGAATTCCTTGTTTTGTGCTGCGTTAAGTAGCATTTAGACCACGTGAACATCCCAACCTATTATTGCATAAATATCTATTTTGTTCAATCTTTTATTTGAGACTGAGAAGTTATATATTCTGACATCATCTATCCACATTTTCTTTTCAGAGTATTTGAATCTTAATTAAATTTGGTTTAAGGTTGCTCAATGTATAGAATTAATATAAGATTAATGTACTATGGAAAAAAATTGTGGATAGAATGTCAGAAAATCATCATCCTTATCCCAACATAAAGATTTAAATGTTGAGATAAACATTGACAAATATTGATC